GAGAAACAGATTTCAATATGGGTGATTTAACATGAGAGAGTAGTGAGAGGTCCTTTCTCTCGTAGGAATTGATGTTTGTTCTTGCTTATTAGCCTGATTTTCGTAACATTATGATTTTTCTTGTGATTGTTGTCATTGCTGAATATTTCCTGTCTGATGTTGGATGAATAGATCTAGAACTGATACGAAAATCGTGTGGAAATCCATCAATGATGTAATGTAATTCTGACAGTTAATAGATCTGAGAATTAAGGGTTTAACCGTAATCAAAATTAGATCTAACGAGTGGAATCTCGAGAGAATAGAAGATGGGAAGAATGAAATCGATAGAAAACTGAGTTTTAGGATGAACTGGAAGATAGAATGATGAATCTTGAGTAGAAACTCGTGGAAATGTTGAGATCTGAGTTTTTTGACAGATCTACTGGTCATACGCGTATTGGAGGTTTCAATACGCGTATGGGAGACTTCCCAAGGGCTATACGCGTAGCAGACGTGCCCCGTCCCCAAGGACAGCAGGGTCCTCTGGTGTTACGTATACCGTACGCGTATGGGCTTGGTCAGTACGCGTATGAAGGGTAGTCATACGCGTAAGGGGTTGCATGAGGGGATTTGGACAGCCTCTGCCATTACGTGTAAGAGAGTTTCCATACGTGTATGTCAGTAGGAAAATGCGCGTATGGGGAAGGGTGTTACGTGTATGGGCAGGCCGGGGACGACTTTTCCCCACTTTTGTGAATTTGCCCATATTTCGCTTGGAACGCGGTTCCGTTTAATCGGGGGGATTAATATGACTAAAATGAACCTAAGGAAGATTAGTAATGAATTTAATTAGAGAGAGAATGTGAAAAATTATGTTTTGCCCTTAGGGGTGTGATTGATATGTGTGGGCCAAGACCGTCCAGTGTGGACGATCTGATGTGATGATGGTAATTCCCGAGAGGATTACGATGAGCGGATGGCTCGTGTGGATCATTTATGATCGTGAATTATGCTTGAAATTATTATTATATTTGCATAATGGTGTTGTCATGCATTTCATGTCATGTGTCTTGTGGAGATGACTATGTGGGAATCCATGATGGGTGCCTAGTTCATCTGGACTTCTTGTGGAAGTTATTGTGGAGATAAGTTGTAGTTCAGAGGAACGTATACGACTTATCCAGATTCCGACGGGAATCGGGTTCTAGGGTGAACCGTATGTATTTGTGTTGGTACCACATGCATTGTGTCGAGTCAGTGAGTCACATTACCTATTTGTATTTGATTATGGGCTATTAATGTCGGGTGATTGAGATGGCATGTGTATGTGCGTTGTATGTGTATGATTATATGTATGGTGTGTAACTACTCCTTAGCATGGGTATTTCACCGCTTAATTATTGAATGTAGTTCTCACCCCTTTTTTTGTTTGTTGCGTTTGTGCTCCTTGGGAAGTGCAGATGACCAGGTACCTGAGTAGTACTTGGAGTGTATTGCTATTTGATCGAGTCCTAAGAGTCGCTCTGATACGTAACATGGGATGACGGGATTACGTTATGTTTTGCTTATTTTCTTAATTAATTGTTACGTATCTTTTATCCGTTGGATTAATGATGTATAACCACCGGTTGTGGGGATTATGTTTAAACATTGATTTTATTCCTCTATTTAATTGAAAGTTAGATAGCATTGGTTTATTTAAAATGAATAAAGTGACTTAGTGTGACATCCTACGTGTTTTGAAAACTCTGATGTATTTTCTTTAATATTTCTATAATACGCGTACGGGGTAGAGTGGGGTGTTACATGCGCCACATTTGTAATTTGATTTTTCCTGGCATGCGTGCCATGGTTTGTAATTTTTGAACAGTCGGTTTTGCCCGTCTTTGTAATCGAATATTTGATTTGAGATTCCAATATGAACGTTTTATTTTGCTATGTGTGTATGGTCTTGTATGTTTCGTTTTCCGAGTAGTTGTTTTTCTCGTTGGTGTGTATGCAATGTTGCGTTTGCTTTTTTTAACCAAATGTTTGGGGCCTTTGCTCGATATAATTTGTCACCTACCGTGCAAGGAACTGGTCGGGTGATCGAAGTTGCTTCCGATTGACAACGGATTAAGATCTCGGTCGAGGTCTTTACTTCGCAGCGTGAACTTCCCATCGCGAGCTGGGTGTTCTGTCTTATTGGTACGACAACGGCGGAGTTCGGTCGATGTGCCTCCGTTGGGCCAAGAGTCTGCCCACATACACAAGAGCAGGGTCTTGGCTTTTCATTTCAAGTTGAGGAGTCGGGCTTGTACCTTAGCGCATTCCTATGGTTGGGACGTACTTCGTTGTGGTTGAACCAAGTATGCGGACTACAGTGTCTAACTATAATATTGTTTGAGCTTTTCAGCGTTTTATGGTCAAGCAAGTACAGAAAAATGGATATAAGTTACAACACTTGACCCTCCTCTAGAGGAGGATATTTATGATGTGCCCCTAGTGTTGCGCCAACAGTCATCTGCTTTGGGCTGGATCATAAGGCCCATAACAGATGACTGTCAGGATCCTATGTGGCAGTAGGGAAGACCCGCATGTGGTTTTCGTCCTGGATCAACTGCCCCACAAATTTCGGAGAGTGGGAGACATGTTCTCTCGAATGTGGGTAGTTAGCTGATGACGTATTTCTGCGTAGGGAGTACATAGAGAACGTGGAGATGATGTGTGCAGAATGTGTCCTCCTGCAATGAAAGTGGATTGAGCCCCTGCATTGGGTCCTCTCCGACGTGAAATTGAGTTGGACCGTGTTTGATAGTGAGATAGCTCTAGACCCAATCCAGAATAATAATAATAATAATAATTATTATTATTATTATTATTATTATTATTATTATTATTATTATTATTATTATTATTATTATTAAATAATAATAAAAACAATAATAATAACAATAACAACAATAATAATAATAATAATAATAACTTATTTCATTTGAAAAATTACTAATTACTCTCTTTTTGCGGGAATAGAAGGTTTTAAAAAAATTATTTAAAAAATAGAAAAAAATTATGGTGATATATTTGTATAGAAAAATAAATATTTATTATTAATATATTTTTAATTTTGAAAATACTATAATAATATAAATTATATTTTAAGAATTTATTAAAAAAAACCCTAAAAAAGTCTTCAAACTCTCCTCTCATATTATTTTTGAATTTCTTAAACTAAAGAAATTAAACTTCATATTATAAATAAAAATAAACTACCAAAATTGTCTACATCCAAATTTCTCAAAAAGAGTTTAAATCTTGAGTATAGTATATTGATTACGACACTGGTTTGACTAGACACATAAATAAGAGAATTGAGGCATAACTTTGAAGATTGACTTACCTGATAATATATGAACAAATTGTGTGATAACAAAATCAATCATCCCTACATACTAAGCTTTCTAGCTTGAAACCTTGACATTCAAACCATAACAATTGCAAGCGAGAAATTAGAATCACCATAAATTGATTGAAAGATATTATTCTCTCAGTTTAAATGATCGAAGTTTAAGATTTATGTATATAAATTAAAAAGAAACATAACAATATTGTTATAACATATTATTTTAATTTTATTAAAATGTTTTTAAAAAAAATTAAATAATGAATGATATAATTAAAACAATTATAATCATTGTCACATTATAAAATAAGAACGGCCATACCCTTGAAGTGGTTGTTTTTTATTATTTTATTTTGAGCTTTTGTATTGCCTTTATCAAAAATTTCAAAAAAAATCAAAATCAAAATTTTCAATATAAAATCAATGAAAAAAATTGAAGTATTAGAATTTTCAAAAAAATTAAAAATTTACACTGTTGAAAATTTTAAAATTTTCGACAAACTACCACAATTTTCAAAATTTCAAATAAACTATATAGTATTTTTTGAAATTTATGATAATGTAGTTTTTTTTTATTGAATATGAACTACTAGAATTTTAAAAAATTCGGAAAAACAAATTATCAAAAAAATTGGTATCTTAATTTTTTTTCAAAAAACAACAATAATTTAAATCAATAAATTAAAAATGAATTATTGAAAATTTCATTAGCTTTTTTAACTCAAATTTGTCCATACAATTTGATAAATATGAAAATATGTGAGATGACAAATTTAATTAAACAAATGGCAGGTTAAATGCTCTCGATCTAGATATGACAATGGAACGAAGACGGTTTTATTTTTTCTGTACACAAACTCGAATCTCAAACGAATATTCATTCTCTACATCAATCTCTAGTGGAGGTGAAGAATTGAAACCCTAAATCCATTCAAAAATATTAGAGTTAGATTCAAATATGTTCTCATTCATGAGTGTAATCAATCTTTTAATATAAATTATTTATTTTCAAACATATATTTTAAATATTTTAAATAATAAAATAAAATTTAAAATATTATACAATTAATATTTCAAATTATCAACACTAATTAATAAATTATAACTTAAATAAACCGCACAGGTTCAAATTGGATACTAATATCTCGAATTTTGTTTATTAAACACATTCAAACCAGACAAAACGGATTTTGCCCATCAAACTTAATGTGGGTTTGGATTTCGCAGATACGGGTTTTGCTCTCATGGCTAGTTTCATTCAAAAAATAAACAGAAGCATATGCACCAATACTATAATCCACCTTTTAGATTAACCATCCTTATAAATAACACTTGACCTAGCATTGACAAAACTTGATTCCTCCTCATCCACAAAACTTTGAAATGCCACATGACTCATGTCCATCATTAAAGTTACCAAAAAAAATCTAATTTACAAAGGCAATGTGCCATGTGACTGTAAGGAATAAAATCCAAACAAGCATAGGAAGCACCAGTTGCATTTTAGAGCCACCATCATTTGATGCCATTAATTATGACCAATTCCTCAAACATAATTCATAGTAGTTACTTTGATTGAAGATTACTCTCACACCCTTGGGAGTGTGAAGAAACTTCTTTAAAGTTATGCATAAATTCAAGCTTCTGCCACAACAGTAGCTTCTTCATCAGTAGAATCAGATGATGAAATTTCTTCCGGGCCGTCTCCAACCATCACCTCTGATTCTGAAACTGTTTCCGTCTCAGCATTGAGAAGCTTTTCCCTAAGCTTTGTTGTTAATTCTTGCAGGCCATCGCTGTTAATCAGGTGTTTTTTTAGAGCATCCTTGCCGTGGAAATTCTTGCCGTTATATTCGTAAAACGAACCGCTCTTTTTTATGAGTTTGTGTTTTATGCTCAACTCTATGACCTCTGCTTCTTTGCATATCCCCTTGCCAAACTCAAGCTCAAACTGTGCGGTTTTAAATGGAGGGGCGTGTTTGTTCTTTACAACTTTGACAAGAATCTGGCTTCCTAAAGTCTGCAAAATAAAATACCAGAAATTAAGTTTTCATACTGTAAATTAGACCTTAATGTATTCATAGCAATATTACAATCCACCGAACACGCGCTATACAAATATTAAGGTAATGTAAAAATGAATATGTTGAGTTGATTGATAGTTAGCAAAAAATACGCCAACAACGATGCAGTTTGTAAGAGTTAAATTGTATTTTGAATTAGTTTTCATCTGTTGTTAAAAGTTGTCAGCTGGTTCAGTTCCCTAGAAGTTAGTTACTAAGGGTGTATGATAACTCTTGGTTAGTGTAGGTTAAGCAACCTTGTATAAACCCTTGTAACTAACTCTGATCATCAATCAAAAACAGAATTTCAAAACTAGTCTAGAATGCATTTCAGCATAGCATTTATCTTCTCTAAAATGGTATCATAGAGCCTGGTTCAGATCCCTGATCATGATTGAACCACAATCGTCCCCTCCACCTCAACCTACGCCACTGCAATCGTCTTCGAAATCCGATCTAATTACATTTCAGTTAAAGCTTTCTGAAAAGCTTTGATGAGAAGAATTTTCTCGTTTGGCGCCAACAAATTGAAATGGTTGTGAATGCTCATAACCTTCAAAGTTTTTTCTCTGCTGTGACATTCCAGATCGGTACATCACTGATTCAGTCACGGGCACTAAAATTGATAATCCTCTCTTCCGCGCATGGACTCAACAAGATCGGTGGCTCCTTTCATGACTTCAGTCTACCATCTCGAACTCAATCATGACTTGTATCTTAGGTTGCACTCATGCTTCGCAACTATGGATTTGAATTCATGATCATTTCCAAGAACTCACTTGTGCTCGTGCTTGTGCTCGTGCTCGTGCACACCAACTGCGCGCTGAAATGCGTTCTACTACCTTATCTGACTGCAGTGTCAAAGCCTATCTTTCACGAATCAACGAATCAAAGCCCTGGTTGATTCTCTTGCTTCTGTTGGTGATCCAATTCCTTCTCAACAGCACATTGATGTGATTCTTGAAGGTCTTCCACAAGATTATATATCTGTTATTTCAGTCATTGAAAGCAAATTTGAGTTAATAGAGCTTGAAGAAGTTGAAGCCTTACTAATTGCACATGAGATATGACTTTCAGAGTTTAACAAGAAAGTTCAACTTGACATAGCCTCTATAAATCTCACAATCCAAATCAGAGGTTGGCACTACTTGTTTTTCTAAAGAATCCTCTTCTTCATCCTTTGCTAATGAAAATGCTAATGGATCAAACTTTACCTCTCACTACTCTTTTGCTGGAAACTCCTCTCGTGGTAGAGGTGCAAGAGGAGGAAGAGGATGTCGTAGAAGCAGATTTGGCAATGTTCGATGTCAGATTTGCTTTAAATTTGGCCATACTGCCTCAGTCTGTTATCATCGTTTTAATCAAAAATTTCAGGCACCTACACCTACTGAATACCATAGCTATCCTCAAGGTTCCTCACACGGATATAAAGGTCATTTCTCTCAATTAGGTACTCCATCTTATGGTTTCCGAGTACCATGGAATCGTCCTCAAACATTACCTTCATTCAGACCCCCTCTCCCTATGCAACCTAATGCAATGCTAACCAACACCACCAATGCCCTCCCTAATACCAATTCCTCTTGGTTTCCTGACTCTGGAGCCAGTTATCATGTCACAAACAGCTCTCAGAATATCCAACAATGTGTCCCTTATGAAGGTCCTGATCAAATCTTCATAGGAAATGGCCAAGGTCTGCAAATCAGCCCCTCTGGTTCTTCATATTTTTTGTCTCCTTTAGAACCCAATAACTCTCTTGTTTTACATGATTTACTGCATGTTCCTTCAATCACAAGGAATCTCATAAGTATCTGTAAGTTTGCTAGGCCTAACTCTGTTTTCTTTGAGTTTCACCTTGACTATTGTGTTGTCAAATCTCAGGTTACTAACCAAGAGCTGTTACATGGAAGTCCTCATAGTGATTGAGTCTGAGTTTCCTAGTCTCAAATTCCAGTCGCAAGATTCAAGTTCCAAGCATCTCTCTCCTGCCTCCTATCTTGTTAGTCCATCTATAGTTGCTGATTCTGGCCTTAAGCTTCCCAATACTGGTTATCGCAATGTAATAAGTCCTAATCCTAACAATGCTCAGTTTTCCTGGCATCTTAGGCTAGGACATCCTAATCCCCATACTATGCAAACTCTGTCAAAACAATGTGATATATCTTTTACACAGAAATACAACAGCGCTATGGCAAATGCTATTATAAGCAATTGATAACTCTGCTTGAAACCGTTATATTTGAACAGGTGTGGCAACCAGAACATGCAATAGAAAAGCAATAATGGATGAACTGTACCTCTTCACCCTTCTTGATAAACCCTACTCTTTTGATATTTAGCCTCACAGAAGAATAGAACTTCAATGCATTACCACCACAAGTAACTTCAGTAGGCCCGCTGAATCCCCCAAACGTAGAAATCTTTGACCTTACCTGGAAAAGCATAGAAAATAGTTCCCATAATTAGAAGATAAAGTTTTCCCTCAGATAAAGTTAATACAATTAATTAATTGATTAATTGTTAATTATACCGAAAATATATTATATATACATGATAATTTTACGCAATATCTAAATAAAAGTACTAAAAAATGCAGGTCAAAAAACATCCCTAGTATCAAACAGCTATCTCTACTATGCACACTCATGTAGGCTTAATATACACGGCAAACAGTCTAGTACTATGTTTTGCTATGGATGCTTTTGAAAAAATAAAATTATATGCACAAATTAACCGCAGGAAATTTTATGACAGTGCAATCAGCAACTGTGGCTGATACCTGGTTTATAAAAATCAATATACACTGTGAAAGTGATAAGGAGTGGCACAGTTTCCGAAGAGCCTGGCTCATCAGCCTAGCTTGCATTGCCATATGAGCATCGCCCATCTCACCGTCAAGCTCACCTTTAGGAACAAGAGCAGCCACCTATGAGTGGAGACATGGCAAAATGTTAAGTGCATTTACTCAACTACAAGAGACAAGATACCCATAACTACGAACTTCAAAATTTTAGATCACATATTTCAGGATCATGAGAAGTTATCAAACACATAAGTCAAGGCACAAAAGTTACAAAAAAAATTTATTTCATCACCCAGACACACACAAAAGGAATTATTAATTAAAAGATTAAAAAAGGAGTTTCTCACACTTACGCTATCGACGACAATTACATCAAGAGAACCACTCCGAATTAAGGTATCTACGAGGCTAAGTGCCTGCTCACCACAATCTGGCTGCGAGAGAAGTAAGTTCTCAGTATTTACGCCAATAGACTCAGCAAGTGTCTTATCAAGTGCATGCTCGGCATCAATAAAGGCACAGTAGCCTGCAAATACAAACTTACTAATTAATGGAGATTCTTATCAAGTTAACCACAGTACCAAAAATATACAAGCCTGTTATTTGTCATTATTAAACTCGTGAACACATCATTAGCAGAACAAATATGACTGGTTGCTTAGCAATGATTACTACAATACTATTATGGTCATATACACCATAAACAAGACGAGTTGAAATACTAAATCTAACACAACCAGATGTATAAGCATTACAATTATCACTTAAAAAATAGTTTATAAAGAATACCTCCTAGTTTTTGTGCCTCTGCAATCACATGCAAAGCAAGCGTTGTCTTCCCAGAAGCCTCTGGACCGAATATTTCCACAACACGTCCCTACAAATATCAGTTACATATAATAATAAGGGGATAGCTGTTGCATAATGAAACAAACACTTGATTTTCTCTTCACTCTTTCTCAATGTTTACATCAAATTGTACTTGGAAACAAAAATGTAAGTAACTATCACACAGCCAGAAACATATTTTGCAGTGTAACCTATCAAAACCCAGACAATCGGTCAAGAAGATTAACAAGTGATGGCTATCAAAAACAGCATTAACCATTTTTTTAAGGGATTAGATAAACTTTTAAAACTGTAAATAGCATATACTTCTCCAAAGCAAATACACAAAAGAAATGTGGGAAGAAACTTAACAAACTGAAACCTTTATCAACAGATAGCAACTTATTCACTATTTAAAAAACAAAAAGGTCCAATGTTGGCTCAAATGCCACAATAGGGAGCAATAGATATGAGGATACCTTTGGAAGACCAAAGATTCCTAACGCTATATCAAGAGCAAAAGAACCCGTTGACACCACAGGTACATTTTTGGGTGAGACAGAACGACCAAGCCACATGATAGATCCCTTTCCAAATGTAGATGTGATCTGATCCATGGCTTGTTGTAAGGCCAAATCTTTCTTAGACATGTTCTCTTCATTTGAGTCACTCCCATCTGACTTAGAGCGCTTCTTACCTTCCCGTATATGAAAATAAAAAAACACCATCAACATAAAACCAGCACAGACTATAAAAACAACCCAAATGATAAAACCATAAACACCTAATCCAATATTTGAGCTCAACATGACTAAAACGCACAAAACAAAACAAGCAAATCAAAAGGTTATAAAATTATGGTTCCAGTTTGGTTCACATAATACTAAAACAGTGACAAATACCTAACAAATTCTAGATTAAACACAAAATAAATTAGCATCACTAGCTCTGTAGCTCGTGTCAGTGTTAAATTAGAGTCATTAAACCATTAAACCTAAACCACAATGAAATTCACTGCAGAGACATAGAAGCCAACACCCTAATCATGATTATTCTAACTTCATATTACAGCAAGTTCAGCAACAAAAGAAACTTTCTTCAATGCAATTATTGTGACTTCATACAAATTGAAGCGAAAAACTAAAGAAGCAAAGAAAGTGAAGTTTCAAAAACCTTTAGAAGTTGAAAAGCTCAAATTTTGAGATGTGCCCAATACTCCATGTTTAATGCAAGAGCGCTGCAAGCAAAAGGGTTAATGAATCAGTCACTGTTCATACAAATAAATAATGAAAACGGCGATGTTGAAGGATGCTATGTATTACCGTTGGAATGGCGTGGTTGAAGAAAGAGCGGTTGAAGAGAACAGTGTTGGCGGTTCGAAGTAGCCTCGCCATGGAGTGTGGAACGTGAAGAGAAGGAAAGTATGATGTGTGTTGATTTTGATTTGATGGAAGTTGCATGGAGTCGTGGACCACGATTTTGAGTTTGCCCGATTATTAGGGTTTATTTTCCCTCCAATTTTAACTTTCATTAGGACTGCAACACATTTTCTCATTTTGGAATTTGGGAATTTTTTATCCAAATAATTAATTAAGTTTTTTAAAATTTCAAAATAACCGAGTTTTCTCATTGATTCACAAAATAATCATAGTAATCCAAATCCAAAGCACGAGTTAATCTAATTGACGTCTATATTTTTAAAAATAGAGTTAGCGTCAATTGAATTTCTATTTTTTATAGACATAGTCAATCTAATTGACGTTCTTATGTAAACATAGTCAATCTAATTGATGTCTATATAAAGTGTTTAGGAAGAGACATTAATTCATTTGACAACTTTAGTGTAATACTTTTCTTTAATTAAAATAATAAATTATATAAAATAATAATAAAGAGTATTAATATTTATTTTAAATATGATTACATATTTTTAACACTAACGACAATCACTGGATTGATCATACATATCACTGGTTCCACACCTTCTAAGTATATTTTTTTCATACCGATCTTTGTTGATTCATCTCAGGTGTTTGATATGAGGTCCCTAGAACATCATCATCACCAGATTCTTTAATAAGTTCTTGTAATTCTACGTAGTCTTATGTATGCATTGACGTGTTGTCGTAATTAAGTTTATGGCCCATGACGATGTAGTTGGGTTGTGTTGATGGGATCATTGGTGAGTGGCTTGATCGATTGAAAGGCGACATTGGTGTGAATGATTCGTTAGAGAAAGAAAGAAATGGTTGTTGTGGTGTTTGGTAGCCATATGTTTGTTGCATGTTTTAGTGTTGTGATGTTTGGGTGTTTTAGCTATGGTATGAGGAAGTGTTGGTGTTATATGTTTCTTTGGTGTTTTGGTTATGGTATGACGATGTGTTCGGGCATATGACTGTTTGGTGTTTGATAATAAGCATGTTGGTGGTAGTGGTATGAGGTATGCTTTTGGTTTTATGGTTGGGTGTCTGACATGTATTGGTTATGGGTTTGAGTGTTTGTAGATCAGTAATTTTGGCGGGCAGGGGTTATCTATAAGTGGTCTGGTAACTATTATGGCTAGATATTGAAACTTCTTATGTGTTAGTGGTTTGGCGTGGATTGTATAAATACCTATCTTCAGAGAAAAACTCAATTGTAATCGATATGTACCAATACATATCATTACTAGTTTATTTAGATTTGGTTGGCATGACAGCATTGCTTAAGACCTGTCAACGTCGGCGCCTCCATTAACGACACTTAGCTTTAGAGAAGTATTTCCATTCTTCAAAAGCTCGTTGTTCTTTAACTTTACATTGATGTCATTATCTGAGGCACATTGGGGGATATGGAGTTTATTGATGCATGTTGAACTACAGTTTCACACAGTCATTATGGTGCACCTTCACAGTGGTGAACCTGATGATCGGTGTTGTTTCAGTCCAAACAGTTGCATCCTTTTTGTTGATTTCATGATGATGTTCCAGACCCATATATGCCCTTTAAATAAATCTTAGAGGAAGAAAGTTAGATTAGTAAATGGATATTATTAAAAATAATTTATCATGAAATGATTCTTTTAATGGTAATACATTGTTTGGTGTTAGGTGAGATTTCAATAGGTTGTGATGCAGTGTCTATGACATATATTGTAATTCATCCAACGAGTCGACCGCCTAAACTAAAAAAGTTAAAATAAATTTTTTAAAAATAATAATGGATAAAGTAAGTAAATGGAAATAATGTTATTAACTTACTTTTTTTGTGTAGGAGAATGTGAAGTTGTTATAGTTGACGGACGATAGGGACGGCAATCTAGACCAACTGTATGCTTGGAGCAAAACAGTGTATCCATGTGTCTTTCTATGTGTTTTTACACAAATAACTATAGAGATATGACAAACAAGTCGAATCCCAACTATATGTTCATATTGTATTCATGTTTCTTAATAAGGGTAAACACGTAACATGTACATTAGAACCACTACATTCGGAAAATAATAATGAACCAATTATGAGCATAATATAACATCTAGTTTTAATTATTTTTCTTTTCGATAGAATTTTCATCTAATATTATACATTTGTACTAATTTTCAAGACGCGTAAGTAAAAGACCTTGGCCCATCGGGTTATTATCTAACAAGTCGACACCCAAATATTCCTCACGTATTGAATTTGCAAAGTTGGTTTTTCCATTGATTGTCTTGCCCTTAATAGGTAGACCCAGTAACATGTACATGTCCTTTAGTGTTTCGGTATATTCACCAGTTGGAAGGAAGAACGTGGGTTTCGGGTGTCCATCTTTCTTGTAAAGTAAGTATAAACTTAACATCACCGGATTAAGACATGATTTTGCTAACATGACCAAAATCAGTGCCCTCTAAATAAGGTTGAATAAACACGTCGGGTATGATATATTCATGAACACAAGTACAAAATTTAGATGGATTATACAAAAAATGAAAAATAAGTTTTTTTCATAAAAATAATGGGTTAGAAAAAATATTACTACAATTGTAGCAAAATAAACACTTACATAAGAATTAATATTGTCGATGGTTTCTCTATGCATTTCTCCCATGTACAAGAGAGTCATTTTACAAGTGAAAAAAGATGAAAGAATGTGATTATTTGTTGGTGATGAAAATATGAGAGTTAAGGTTTTATTTATACTGAAGGGAGTGATGAAATGTTGGTAATTCAAAGCATCCAACACATAGGGCCCAGATAAGTTGGTGGCTCTATCTATTTGCCATGCAGCGTCTCCAATTCAAATGTCGTATCCATATGCAGTCATCAATTCAATCGGCTATAGCTCTATTTTTTCTAATACATGTGCCAATTGGATTGACATATGCTATGGGTTGCTAATTTTATTTGTTTGTAACATGGGTACTTCAAGAATTAGTAGAGTCTTCATCGAAAGTTTGAGGTCTAGTTGTATAGCTATTCTTTTCAAAGGTATTATAATCATAGTTTAACGCAGCAATGTTTCTATGACCATCATAGGTTTTAGTATCAGTCATGTTTTTCTCTTAGGATTTTTTTCGATACCACTGTTAAGTATTAAAAGCACAGATCGTGCTCTGATGCCAACTAGAGGTGAGGAAAACACAAGAAGGGGTTGAATTGTGTTAGCTTTATTTCTTTTTTTTTTTGAAAATATCTTATCATATTCTTAACACAAGATCTAAAATCTGAATCAAAATTAAGTGTTTAATAGCCGATTAAAGTGGTTCAAATGTAGAAAGAAAAGCAAGAGAGGCACAAGAAGTTATCCCGGTTCCTCCCACAAATCTAAAGTAATCTAGTGTTGAATATGTCTTAAAACGAACCATCTTTCTTGGTATTTTTCAACACTTTTCTTAAGTCCTAATTAATTTATTCCATGTTCTTGTTTGATTCTTCAATATAATTGAGTTTACCTTTGGATTCCTTTGTATGTGTGTTATTGTGTAGGAATTAGGCTTGATTATCAAAGAACAAGGCACAATTGAATGGACAAGGAACCCAAAGAAAAGATGAAGATCTAGCAAGTTCGCAGTGCAAGCCAGAAGCGAAGGCAAAGTGAGCTCGCAGTGTGAGCTCAAAGCGAGGCCAAAGCAAGCTGGGAATTTTTTATGGCAGTAGCTAAACCCGTCACTGAATGCAGTGCGAGGTCTGAGCGAAGAGTTCGTTGTACAAAGTCAAAGAATCCTCAGGGGCAGTTTAACTGTTCAGAGGTACTCCATGTGCCTATAAGTGAAGTTCGTAGTGCAAACAGGGAGCTCGCAGTGCGAGTGACACATATTTTATTTAGATATTTATGTACTTTTTCTTACTTTTTAGGGATCATAACCTCATAACAACATTTTTCTGAGATAGCAACATTGACTTAGGAGAAAAAAATCCAAAGTTCTTCATTTTTTCATCAAGGAGTGATATTTTACAAGTAGAAGCTAGATTCACATCCTAGATCGATTCTTCATCTTGGATGCACATTCATCTTCTTCCTCTCCTTGTGAAACAAGCTACTATGGTGATGGATAGTTAAATCCCTTTGTATCAAAGATAGATGTAATCTATCTTAGCTTGTATGTATTTCTTTTGATCTATTTGTATGTGAACAAGTGCATGATTAATATATGGTGAATGTTTTTGTTCTTAAAGGTATATTTATGATTTGTATCACTCTAGACATAGATTTTACAAACCTTGATCTAAAATATTCATCTATTAATAAACAAACTCTAGACATAGATTTGTAAGTTGATATTTGCTTTGTGTTGATCTTAAAAATTATTGTATTTGTTGTTAGCATGAGACATCATCTAATGACGGATACAATAAAACTCACGACATCACTCTAGACATAGATGGTATTAAGAGGATACGTGATTATATTAATCGGAAACGAATTCCCATGCTTGATTAATAGAATATATACAAGTTAGGTTGATGAAATTTATCTTTGATATGTCTTGTTAAACAAACATCTTTTAAAATGTAATCTTTGCAACTAAAATTGTGACAAACTTATGACACAAAATAAACAAACTTTTAAAACCCCACTTAAAACATCATAAATTGTAAAACGACAAGCGATACCACTATAATCCATGTGGAGACGATTTTAAATACCCCCTTTACCCACAACTTTAACAAAATGGCATCATTGTCGATGATTGTTGGTTGATATTGCAAGCATTGCATTAGTTTATATTGTTTTAAGATGTGTACCGTTATCTCTTATTGCGGTAAAAAAATCGTGATACCAAGCTATTGATTATCTTGAATCTTAATTCATTAAATTTACAACCGGACTTTAATTTATCCAAAGGAAAGGTTTAAAGAAAGATAAACCTTTTGCGTGATATAACAACAACGCTAAGAGATCTAAGGTTCGAGGGTTGGTTATACCTAGGGTAGGTATTTCACATCCTAAACATCAGCAGTACTCTACAGGAACCTCTTGTTAGTATTTGTGTTATGCTAA